GAGAAGGCTCTGGGGAGACATTATTGCAGACTTTCAGTAATTAAAGGGGGCTTATAGGAGAGATGGGGACAAAATTTTTAGTAGGGCCTGTTGTGATAGGACAAGGGTTAATGGTTTTAAACTAAAAGAGGGTAGATTTAGACCAGATATAAGGAAGAAATTTTTTACAATGAGGGTGGTGAAACACTGGCACAGGTTTCCCAGAGAGGTGGTAGATGCCCCATCCCTGGAAACATTCAAGGTCAGGTTTGACAGGGCTCTGAGCAACCTGCTCTAGTTGAAGATGTCCCTGCTCATTGCAGGCGGGGTTGGACTAGATGACCTTTAAAGGTCCCTTCCAACCCAAACTATTCTATGATTCTATGACATGGGCATGCTTTTGTGTTTTTTATCTCAGTAAGTTCGTAACTTTCTGTTAAAGGTATAATTACAGCATATTTTTCTTGTGACATGGCAGCTTCAGTGTGTCAAGATGGTATTCTGGAAATTGCACACAAAAGCTTTTAGGTAACTATTTTTCTCCCAACGTGGCTGTATCTGTAACACAATGGAATCATAAAAGGTATGGGAGTTAAATCCAGAATGAATGACAGATTAGTGCTCTTTCAGGCCTCTTTTCTTACAATAATAAACCCAGCACTGTAAAAAGGCAAACAAGCCATTAATGCTCTGCTACCTTAAGTATTAGAGATATAAACCAAACACTCTGAAAAGACCTAACGCTTTCAAAATAGAAGACAACTCAAGAGACATTTATCTAGTTATCGATAACATTATATCCAAGAGAAGGAACTAACTGCAAGATTGGTTCTCATTTCAGCTTCCAGGATTGGATTGTTGACTGCACAAAGTTATTTAAGAGAAGCTAAAGTGGGAAACAATACGGAGCAATTTTCAAACAGAGGAATCTAAACTTAACAGTCTCAAACGAATGTTTAGGGATAAAAGAAGTATTCTTTTCAAATGCCTGTAAATCTACAAATCTGACTCAGAAATAAGGGCACAACAACCTGAAACAATTTAAAAAAAAAAACTCTGCACAAGTAAATAGTTATTTTAACATACATGCTTAACACTGCCAGTCTGATTTTTACAGGATTTAAAAAAAAAAATTTTTCCATTCCCCTCCTCTACATCTAAAAACCTCCTACCAGATAATATTGATATTCAAACTTTTCAGCATTAAACCTATACATATATACATATGCAAACAAACCTGGAGAAAAAGACTTTTCTGCATTTCTATCAACCTAGAAAACAGAGATAGAAGATTACTGTCTAAAATCTGTATTGCATTACTTGGATTATCAGCAGTGCAGAAACAATTTTAAAGGTCGTCCCTGTCCCTCCCCCTTAATTCAGAACTACTCCTATTAGTCTTTAGATAGGCATAATAGCATTTTTACACTTGGCATTTCAACTTCATATTGATTTTTAGATAAAATATTTTAATGATTTAGACTCTGAGTCACTTAAGTAGTCAAAAGCAGTCTCGAAAGTACTTTAGACTTCCTACAGGATTACTTGAAAGTCATGGGGGGGTGGGTTTATATGGTTTTGTTTGTTTGTTTGTTTTAAATAAACACAATGTCACTGTTGGTCAATATCAGCTTAATATAAGATGACAGCCTTTTAAAAGTAATTCATTTAAAACAGCAAACCCAGCTTTTCTGAAGATAAAACACATTCTTGTGTAAACCAAGCAGCACAGACGACAAAAGCCCAGCACAGCTCACAATCTGCAGTATGCAGAGCATTAGGTGAAAGCTTCAAGAGTGACTGAAACTTTATGGGAAATTACGTATTCTCATAGGGGAGGGGGAACATCCTATAGTGTCATATGCATGGCATTACCACAACTTTCTTTAACATCCATTTCATTTGCTTCTTATTCAGAGCCAGCCCTGCAAACGTTCACTGTCATACCTGCCTGCCTTCAATTATTCAATGTATCTGTATGAAAGAGATCTTAAATTCCAAGAAAAACATAAGTATTTAGTAAAAGCAGTTTTGCACGAACACAGGAAGAATCATTTGTCTTATAAACCTCCACCGGCAATCCAACATTTCCCCAAGTCATTTGTCCTGATCTGCCTACTATGGCTTCCTTCAGACAATTTATCACCGCCTGCCATCTCCATCTTGAAAATAAAAGGTTTCACACTAATCATAAGTCAAGCTGCAATAAAAAAAAAAAATCCAAATATTCCAGAAATCACAGTTAAACACAGACAGACAGGACATGAAGAAAAGCAGAAAGCTCATATTTTCTACTTGTGACATACTAATAAAGTACTGCCAGAGCCAATCTTCATACTAGACCAAGAAATCTGTTTCAACATTAGTAAAAGATGGTATTTTAGAGGCAGAACAGCACTGTCAATGATGAAAATACAAGAGTGACAAGTACTTTAAATTAATTTTATAACGTAAGCTTGCTTCATAATTGGTTGCGATACCAGAGAAAATACTTATTTTATGTTCTAAACCTTATCACACTGCCTGCAAGTATTTTTATTTCCTGTAGTTAACTTGTGTTTCTAATCACAACATAATCTGCAGTACTGAAAGAGAGCAAAAGCTAAAACAAGCAAGTGAAAGAAAAGAATTTTTTTAACCTTCCCATAGTATAGGGCAAGTTGTAACCCAGGTATTTAATTAACATGACAGCCCTTCCTATACAGAAGTCCCAGTCTTGGGTGAACATTGGAGTTGTCCACTCCTGCCTTCATTCATGTTGCAATTCTACAACTAAGAACGAACATTACTCCTAAAACAAATACTAAGCCCAAATTCACATGACTAAATGGTTTCCAATAACTTCTGAATGAGCTTTCCTGACAAACTTGAGGGGAGAATTAATTACTATGAAAATTAAATCAAGTGATTTGAGATAACGTGCTCTTCAGAGGATGCAACATCATGAACTTACAGGAAAAGCAGCAGGGAAAAAGCTAGAGAACATGACTCATTCAATTCTTGTGTGTGTCAAAGGAATAACAAATGGAAAAAATTAAAATTAATTACCTCATGAAACACATCTGGGTTTCCAGGGTTAAACAGTGATGGCAATTTCTCTTCTAAACCATGTACTATTTCTGGCCACACTGAATTCACTAAGAAATCATATCCAGGAACAATATCTGCTTTTTCACTGAAATAAAATTGCAATTATTCCATGGTTATATTTTACCACCAAGTTTCTATTTGGAGATAGGGATAACTAAAAAGACATGCACTGCATTAGACAAAACACAATTAAGTTTTTTTACGTAGGTACGCTGATTCCCTTAAACTATTCTTCCTTCCAGGTTTCATATCTGATCCCACAGTCTCATCAAATGCAAGGTATTTTCTATAACTCTCAAAGTGTTTTAAAATTTTATCAGTTATATATTTTGCAAGTGTGTTCTGGAAAATGAGTACATTTCAGCTGAGAACGCCAATTCTTACTTGTATATTTCAAGTTCTAACAGCTCTAAACTTCAAAGAGGTACCAAGTAGGAGTAATGTGACTAATGCAATGGAAAGAAGCAGAACTTTTTCATAATTGTTCCAAGCTGTATTTATGCATGATATTGTGCTTCGAAGCAAAAGATTAAAAGCTACCTTGATTATGAAAATTTATAAATTGAGAGCAGAAGAGATACAAGCATTTAATTCAGTTCAGTACACCACAGTACGAAGTGGATACATTCCATTATTAAGAAGAAAGATTAAAACTTGCTGAGGGATTAAAAGAATTGAAATGTTAGTAAAACTTAGGAGTCATAAAAAGCTCAGCAATGGATGACTAATTAGAAAAGTAATTCTGCAGTCCCTAGGGGCTACATCCATAGTTCTGCTAATTACAGCAGTCTACTATATTAACCAGCCTGGAAACAGATGAATAAATGGATACAATTCAGTAGACTTTTAAAATATTAGACTATTTAAACTTCAAAACAGGCAATTTAATTGCATAAGGAATTAAGCACTTTTGGAGAAGACAGTGGAAGCACTACACAAATCAATTAAACCTCTAGTTCCAGTACTTAAAATAAATCAGTCAAACCTCTGGGGATCATGCCCACTTTTCTGATGTACACTAACAACCCAGTAACTTTTGAACTTGTATTTTTTAATAGCTTTATTATGCCCTCCTCGTTGGATGAAGTGTACAATCATGTTTCATGGATTCAAAAAAACAAGGTATCTGACGCATTGTATTATGAACAGTACTTAATTCTACTACTGAAATACAGGATTCTCCCTCCCCTCCCTTGGAGGTCTGGGCCGCAGCACCAAGAAAGTTTGTTCACTGTTTTGTTTTGAAAAACATAGACACGAGAGAAATCAAACTTGACTATGAATCTTCAGGAAAGGCCAGATAAGCCGTTTGCACATGGAAGCTAATTATGCAAAGCATTTCAAAAGTATTTGATACTTGCTGTAACTTTCGTGCAACCGAAAGAAACTCCAAGATATTTACCTTGAAATAGCTCCCCCTGTTACTTCACGCAAGAGACGGCAATGATGAGGAACAAACTCCAATAGTTTATTGTACATAACCTGAAGGCCATTAGGATGAGATTGAACGTACTGTTCCACAATCACCTGCCGGGAAGAGTTCAGTGTTAAATGTCAGAAAAGTGAATATGAAATACCGTAATGCAAGACTCACAGTCTACTCACTCAAAACTCTTAACACCATAACCCCAAATGTTGTGATAGTCACTATATTACTTTTTTATATTATAGTTTCCAAGTATAACTTGCCAGCTTGAATTATTACTTCTTTAATGCAGCACTCTAACTGGCAAGATTGGCCACAAGAATGGGAATGAGCTCCTTGCTTTTAAATGTTAGCCACCATGTCTGGCTTCCCACCCACTGCACACATCACTGTCGCCTGAAGCAGTCTGTGAAGTTAAACGGGTGACTGGCAAAAGCTAATCAAACCTCAGAATAAAGTCAAAAGTCTACTAAATTTAGAGCTTGTTGGTCCAAACCCAAATGCAGGTAAGCCAATAGCCAAGAATCTTCTGTGACAATGCTAATACAGCTAGCAAAGCAGTCTGTCAGGACAGTACCTCATATCCAGGAATAATCTCTGCCATAAAGAGAAGACAGACAGTAGTTGGACAATACAGGAAAAGAACAATAGCTTATATTTCTTGGTATTCTTCCACCTGTCTGAACACTTTTGCCTCTTGCTACATAAACAAGCGGAACAGTGCAGAAGTGGGGAAAGAACAGACACTGAGAAAACAGAGGGGAAGACAACCTGTCCCCCACTGTAGCAGTTGCTACAGCATTAGGAAGCACCCAAAAGAAGTCTGTCCTTACGGGGAGAGGCCACCACCGCTTGACTCCCTCTCCCATCCAAAAGCCAGGAGCTGCCTTTGCTTTGTAACTCTGTATGCATACAAAGTAAAATCAGAATAATTTTAAATGTTTCCTTTCCAACAGCAGAAAAGAAACATCCTACTGACAATGACACACAGCTCAGGTGTTATCAGACATACTACTCTTTCACAGGGAAGGGAAAGGTAACAATTCCATCTCTTGGCTGCTGAAGACACTACTGAGTGAAAAAAACGTAATTTCTTTTCCCTATCTTGATTTAGAAGAACAACTCCTTCAGCAAAAGTTATACAGATCAACTCTTCACTTGCCTTGGTTGGGAACACTGTGGCAAATGGACAGTAAATGGAAAAAGGAAGCAAATACCTTAAGGTCACTTCTGCATTTATGTTCAGAAAGGCACATCAGTGTAAGAAAAAGCAACTGTATTATTGCCTACAGAAACATATTCAATACTTTTAGAAACAATATTTACATTGCTCTTATAGGTCTTAATAAAAGCGTTAATTCTAGACTATAACCAGTCTCATTTTTTTGTAAAATACCAGTGGAGAACAAACTGTTTTAAATATGCTGAAAGCAGAAAACAGTACCTCATATCATAACATGCCTCTCATGGTTTACTGAGCAAAGAGAATGTTATTAAATATCTCAATTTAAAGAGTAATGGCAGTAAAAGAAAATCTTGACAGCAAAGGGAAAGATACATCAATAGCATAACTTGGGACTCAAAGCCACTGAAAAGTACTATGGGTTACAGAGGCAAGGATGAGGGGAAGATCTATGCTGCCTTCTATTAACATGCATAAATTCAAGCAAGTGTATATTTGCAATTGCCAAGGCAGCTCTTGTACTTTACAGTTTTTCCTCCCCACAGGAGCAGGAAAATTAATACTGCTGGAAGATTCATAACGCTAGTTTTAGAACAACAACTTTATAGCGCTGGCACTGGCCCAGTTTAACAACTTCTTTAAGGACAGTGAATTTAATGTATTTATGAAATACTCTGACAATCTATTGAAAGCAAGAGAAACTTCCTGCAACAGGGCAATCAGTTAGCACTAGTAATTATATTGTAAATATAATTCAGATCTCAGTAGGGAACAAATATCCTCTGAAATGATATGGAATCGTTACCTGGCCTGGACATAATTCCCGACACACTGATGAAAAGGGTCAAAAGAAGTCTTGGTATTATAGCAACATCACTTCAGCACTAACCTGGTTTATCAAGTCATTTCAAACACAGACGACTATCAAATATCTTAAAATGAATTTTCAGATTTTTACTTGAAGCTTGAAACTAGAGTTACCATAATATAATTGTAGGCCCTTAAAAATGTTTTCAGTGGCAACTGCAGGTGTGCTGAAATACAAGAAAAATTGAGCACAACTGACTGACTTTCTGACTGTTACACTACTGTGGCAGGATACTGTCTGAGCTTTTTTTTGGAGGAATTACATTATCATCAACCACAACAAAAAGAAAAAAAGTAGCATAGACTAGTTCAGACCAGAAGAAGTGGTAAGAACAAACAGTGCTACAAAAAGGTGAGGAACCATTTTACAGATAGCAGCAAAAGTTGCACTGTCAAGAGAATTAGCAGAAAGTCCCCTAATTTCAGAAAATTCAATCAGTACTTCATGATTGGTCCAACTTGTTACTGTGAACTGATGGCCTACTAAAATCACTTTCTCATGGATTGAGAAACTGGCCATCTGACACATTTTTCCCCACCAGACAACAGCAAATGCTTCTCAAACAAACTGTTCCTGCTAATGTCCTGGTACAGCTGGGAACTGCAGAAACTGCTTCTTCATACAATGGGAAGAAAAGGGCATTGCACCATTTTTGCTGCATTTGTGTGCTACTGAGCCAGCCATCAAGAAATGCAAACCCCAGATCTGATCCAATTCGCACAGATGCACCCTGGTCCAGAAGAAATTGGATTTTACGCCAGTCATATGCTTGGTTTAAGGTTTGTTTTTTGGATTCCTCACCCCAAGAAAAATGTAGGTGAGAAAAAGAATCCCAACTGGATATAACCTGAAATGGGTGACAGGCAGATAGAGAATTCCTCTGCCCTTTTTTCTTAAATAGCGACAACAAACAAACTGACATTGTGTTGGTGCTCAGTTCTCCTGCTCTCTCCACAAAGGCATTTTGAAGCTGCTAAATAAAGCTGGAGGTTAACAGGAAAAACAAGCACGTTTGCAAATCAATTCCTTTTTTTATGATTCTTGATCTTATCTTACCTCATCTATATAAGGTTTTACAAGCACTTGACCAACTAATGCCTCAGCATCTCGTGTTTTGTCAATTGTTGCGTAAGTGCGAAGACAGTGACGTATTATATCAACATTTGAAGTTTGAAGGCCTTCCAAGAGCAGCCCTTCCAGAGACTGCTGCAACATAGCTGTTATTCCAGCTATACGCTATGAAGAGAAACAAAATATAGTAATAAAAAAACAAAAGCAAAGCGTTGCCATCACTGCTGAAGAAAATTCTTCCAGAAATACCTAATTCAGCTTTCCATTTTCATTTGAAAAGTGCACAAGTTTTGATAACTGTCAGCATTAAATGAACATTAACACAAGCTTAATGGGTTACTGATGCTTTTTAACACAGTATTTATTATAGTAAGGTTAAAAGGCGATTATTTTCCTTTTTATGTTGTAAGTTATGCAGTAACTTATCTAAGGTCCCCTTTACCCTGAAGAAATAGGTCAATAATTGTTCCTTGTGCAACTGAACCACTGTATGTGATAATACACAAAAGCTTCACAACAAGTCACCAGGGATAACAACTGTGGCATTTACCCCTCACTGTCAAAAATTAAAACGATAGTGTGTTCCCAGCACTACTTCTCAAATTACTGCAAACCAAAGACATTGAGTGACACTGGCAAAAAAAACAAAAAAAATGACACGCCATTAGATTCCTTCTGGCTTCTGCTAAACAGCTGCTTCAGTCAACATATATTCTGCCATTTGCTAACCATTTTTCCTCATCTCCTGCAACATCTCTTCCACTAGATCCCACTCATTGCTATACTACCTGCAGTTATACTCCTGGCCCAAGATGGTCCCTATATTTGAAGCAAGTTCAGCAACACACATTAATTTAATCAGAACTGAACTACCAATTTAACGAGTCAAATTTTTTCTCTGGCCTTTTGCATGCTATATTGTATCCATTCATCCTAAAATGATTCTTTAAATGGCCACAGAATTTGTTCTGAACATGCAAAGCCCGTAACCCAATTGCTGACTAGTCATGAAAACTGATAACCCTTCACAACAACAGGTACAGGACAGAAGCCCTGGCAAGGATCATTAGGGAAGCCACATGACAAAGTAACAAAGGTCCTCCCACCATAAATACTATCCTGTTGCTCACACTTGTGTTGCTATCCGCATTTGATAACTCAGTGGCCAGAACAGTCTTGTAAACTGCCCATGAATCAACATGGTACGATGGCAGCCTTGAGCTGAAACATGTTTATATTGCCAATAGACATACATAGTGAAAAACTGGAACTATGAACTACCTCGCTAGCTCGAAAGTCATCAAGAACGTCAGCTCCATGTTAATTAGCTTAAAGCATTACCCCATCTCCATATTCACATTATTCATACTATCTACCTTTAAGCACCAGTCTTCATTTGTTCCCTCGCTTCAGTGAATAGACAAAAGAAAAAAAAAGGTCAATTCATCTTTTACAGTAAACAGTTATTACAAGCAGGATATTAGGGAGATTAGCCTACCAGCCTGAACAGCCACAGTTAGGCAACAAATTTCACCAAAAGACAAAGTTGAGTATCTTCAAGCCAGCCACTCTGTAGGCACATTCCATTTATATTCTGGTCTGTACACTGCAGCTAACAAAACCAATACAAATCTGTAGAACTAGACCTCAATATCAGCAAGCAAACTGCAGAATACATTAGGCTGACAAAAATGTCTGTGTTATTTCCTACTCTTATTCTAAGTAATTTATCCTAAAGAAGTTAGCAAACAAAGCATAAACCCTCAGAAGAAGCAATGCTTCTGGTCAACTGAAAAAAATGACCTCTTGAAACTCATTTTCCCCCATAAATTAATTAAATAAAACTCTGTGGAAACTGGCATTTGTCTTCCAATTATATTGGTTTTGCTTGATCCTACAAGTGTTAAGCTGGCTATCATGCAATACTTACTGGTCTCACTTTGTCCAAAAGGGGCATTCCTTTGCTTTGTACTGCATGAAATTGTAGTTGATTAAATTCTGTGGCAATTCTCTCTAAAACCTGTCCAGTTAAAAGTGGGCTAGAAGAGAGATGATACAAAATGAGAATACACAGTTAGATCCTTTCAAACAAATTCACTTTCATCTGCAGCACACAGATAATGCTCTCCCCCAACTTTTGTGGTTTAATCTAAGTATTTGGAATTCTGATACTACAATTATTTCCATCATGCAATAGTGATCTGGAAGCGACTACATGATTAGAGTTGTTTTTGGAGCTACTAAGATACGAAATGGGTGAAGCAGAAGTGAAGAGGAACATAAGAAGCTGCCTCAGCAGCATGAAGCGCTGTTTTCTATATGGTAGTGCTGCTTATTGTCACATGAAAAGGCAGCCTTACAGCTCATACTGCAGTAAGTGCTCTTCACCATCCAGATTTGTTTCTTATTTCCTTTTTCTGTCATGTGGTAAAACTAATGACAGCTATCTCTACAGAAAGAGTCCTACCCTCCTCAGGTCTATATAATTAGCCAAATTTTCAGCCACTCGAGTACAATCTTGCTTTGAAACATGATTCTGCAAAGTGCATCACCCTGACTGAAAACATTTGCATATGCTTTGTCCCTCTAGGTATCAGCCTATTCTTCTGTCTGCCTCCCCCAACACATTACCACCTGATCCAGCGCACTAAACTGAAGAGACAGTCTCACATTCAAACAGGTTCATGAAATTGTCTTTTTCCTCCAGCGTAATTTGCACTTGCATCCCAGTCAATTATTTCAAGCACATAGCTGGTACATCAGTTCCAAAACTGGCTGAAAGACATCTTCCATCCCTCAGCAAAGGCAGAGGGAGAGGGAGAAGACACTTTCCATGAAGTTGTTAAAAACCAAAACTTGTGAGTCAGACTGGAATTTGTCACAAACTTTCCTTCTACCAGAAGTACTACATGGGTGGCTTGCCTGCCTCAGACTATTCTTGCAGCAGTCCTTTCAGTTATATGTATGCAGGGAAAACAAGAAAAGCTATTTCCCATTTTACTGCCAAATGATAGAGATAAACTGTACTGCAGAGAGTATTTCAGACATGACGGGACTAGTGACTTCCAAGAAAAAAAAATAATTATTGCATGCAGACTTCAAAAAGCACACGTTTACTGAAAGCACTACAAGTAATTCACAACTCAGACTTCAAAAAGCACACGTTTACTGAAAGTACCACAAGTAATTCACAACTTTGGAGGCTGAGCTACGTATTCTGTTCAGTTTGCAGAAGACTAAACCTGAGAAAATACTAAAATAACAATCACTTATTCCATCAGAATTACATTTCTAAAGATATATCCTAACATTTGTAAATTCATTTACATCAATACCACGAAATTAAGTCAGTCCCCTCAATTACAAACAAAACTGAACATTTACATATTTTTTACCTGTTTCCCTCTAATGAGGACAATTCTTTAGTGCCTTGGGAATGCAGAATCTTTTCAATTTTCTCAACAGACTGAATAACATGAATAAGTCTCAGGACACACATCTGTAATTAAAGAAAGATTTTTCATGTCTGACCTCAATCCCAATTTACATTACCTAAAGATATTTTGGATGTTTTTTTCCTTTTTTTTTTTCCTCCTGGTGTTAAGTTCTCTCCCTCCATCTTAATACTTGAGTCATGTCTCAGTTGAAGTATTGCTCACGTAAGTCCATAAAACCCCACAAACAATGTTTGTCGCAGATGTAGAACAGCTGTTCTTATCTGATTTTTACCAAGTTAAGCACAAAGACAAATGTTAGTTCCTCCCCCTCATATAGAAATTAAACTCCTGTATTTCAATTACATTCATAATAAGCAAGTTTATATAATACAAGCAGAAACATGAGTAACTGTAATTGAAAAAAGCCAACCAAACCAAACATAGATGTTTTTGGCAAATAAAGTAAAATAAAGATTTATGATCAACTAGACACTGTAAAAATGAAGTCTGTCAACCAAAACTTCAATCATTATTTTTACAAGCAAAATGTGCATCTAGGCAGCCTAAAACCTTTAAAATTTCATTTTCTCTGGGTTAATGGCAAAAACAAGTTGCCCTAATGAGGATCTTTTCAAGGTAATCATTTGTCTGTTGTACCTTTTTTCTTCTAATATCTTCCTGTTTAGTCATTCGGTCATCTACTGCTTGAATTCCTTCACTGACACATGACTTAAGACTCTGTGAGAGAGAAAGTCAGTATGAAAAGTTGGCTTCCCACTTAAGGTTTAAAAAAACCTTAACTTAAAACTCAAAAATCTAAACTTAAAACTGGAGAGAGATTAATAAGAATATAGGACGAATAAAAGCTACAGTACATCAACTGCCCTCTAAGTGAAAAAAACAGAAATAAGACTAAATAACTGAAAGTATAACCTGCTCCTAAAGTACTGCCACCACAAGTATCATCATTTCAACCAGAAGTGTTCTTTTAGTACCTTACAGAGAACAAACCACCTTTCACCTAGAAATAAGCAATAAAACCAATATGATTTTATGTCTTGAAACTGAAGTTATAAATCAGATTTAAGCAGTATTTTTCACATAATAAATATTTCTCTATGCTGACTGTGAACCTATTTTCTGTTTCAGACATCAAGGCTAAGATATTTTGAAGACACATTTATGCAGCAAACATCCCTTTGAACCAGCTGCCAAGATGAACAAAAATTGCCCTTCACTAAATACCAAGTCACTGTGGAAGAGTCAGAATAAGACTGACCTTCAGGAGCGTGATCTTTTATGTTTAAACCACAGGACTGAGCAAAAAAGTCCTTAGTAGGACTGTGTTGCACCTGATTTGTTTACTACCATCTTTAAGTTACTCAAATATTAAACCAGTTCAATATTTCACCCTATACTTGTCTTGCAGGAGACCATTCATTTATCACCTTTAAGAAATCCTTCATCTCTTCATTAAAAGGCACTACAGAAAATGTAAATCTACTGCTACTACAACTGCTTGAAAACACACTTCTCCTACTACCACTCTAAGAAGTCAATTTTCAAAGAGAAGTTTATTATAATAATTATTAACATGTATAAAAGACATTCTATATAGCATATGAAAGTGAGCTGAATTTTACCAAGCTGTGTATAATGATTGTTTTGAGCATACCATAACTTCTTCCCTTAACTGTCCCAAGGGTACTGAAAGCTGATTAAGGGCCTTGTCCATGCCAACCTAAAGAAATTACCATAAAAACATTTATGACATATATCACGTAAGTCATATGTGAATTACTGACAAAGTCTACCATTTTACAGATGCTAAAAGAGAACTGAGAAATGATACCTCCCTTTATAGTCTCCAGTTTTAAGTGCAATGCAAAAATGTTACCCCAAATACAGGGATAAAGAGATCAGACTGCTTGTCACAGAAAGCCAAAAATGAAAGAAAACTTGGACCTATGGAAGTTTTTCTTCGAACAAAGATGTTAAATCTCACTCTTTGAACCTATACAATTGGAACCTGGATGAACTGGAATAAAAGAGCGGGATACACAGTGAACAAGACATTTTAATATGAAAATGATTAAAATCCTCAGTCAAGTGGGACGAGGTTTTTTAAGATATATTGACTGTATAGTTAATTTAAAGATTCCTAAAAGAATCCCTCAGAATGGCCTTATTTGTATCTTTGCTAGTCAATTTTAATGATTTATTTCCTTCAATTTTACAGCTACTAGCAGTTTTTAAAAAAAGTTTGCCTTGAGTCTAACTTCCTAATGAATTGATTTTTTAAAGACAAAAACCATATATCTAAAACATTTATTATGGGCCAACAGCAATTCTGTACAGTAGCTATATTCTACAATAATGGTCTTTCAGTTTCTTTCAGTGCAAGGGGTCACATTTAAGATGCCTTAAATCTAATAATGCCAAAATACAAGCCACATACTTTTCATATGAAAAACAAAAATCATACTAAAACGCGTTAAGGCTGAACTATATATTACAACTTAATAAGACTTACTAGATTTGTTGAGAGATTAACAAAATCTGCGTAGTCCTTATTTATGAGTTCAACCATGGCAGTTTTAAGGAGTTTGTAATAGAGCTCCAGATCCTCTCTGAGCTCTTCCAACTGCACGCGTTTCCTGCAGTCTGACACAAAGTGATCAACATCAAAATCCGGCTGAAAATGAAACAGGAAAGAGAGAAGGATGTAAGCAAAAAGTTCAAACCAGGAACGCACCCTACCCCACCCCCAAAATAAAGTATTCCATATTCCAGTGAGCTGACCAAACTGAAGTACTGGGGGGCAGGGGGGCAAAAAGGCTACTTAATGGAGTACTTTCCAATGTTGCAAAGTCTTGGTCTTGAATCTCAAAAGCACACAATGTTGTGGGTCAGACTACTGAAAGACTAGCTCTCCAAAATACAAGGTTGTATATTGCCTGCACACACTTAAAAAACCAAACAACAACAACAACGACAAAAATAAAAAACTACAACAACAAAAAACCCCCAACCAAACAAAAGTCGAAACACAGCATTAAGAACTACTTTAAGCTCTCTAAGCAATGAGGCCTCAATGCTGGTTATGAGTCTATCTATCTGCAGCTTGGCTTCAAAGCACGCCGGGTATGACTTGGAGGAAGTCCGGCTCGGGTCTGCCCCCGGAGGTGAGCTGCAGCACCCGGCCCGGGCCCGGGACAGAGACGCTCAGATCACCCGGTTGCAAACCTGCGGCTCTCTCCTCGGGCAGCCCCCCCTGCTCCGCCGCTCAGACTCCCTTTCAGTCTCGCCAGACTTGGCCGTAAACCCTGCTTGGAT